CTTGAATTCGTTGAGTTTACGGTATCCCGAAGGAAGGCTGTATTAAACTTGTGTGATGATGTCTGACCCGTTATCCAGTGTTTCTTGAGTTTCAGCCTTATTTTAGCGACCAGCAAGTGGTGATCTGAGGCTATATCAGCTCTTCTCTTGGTTTTCACATCATCCATAGTCCTTCTAATTTGGTTTTGAGTAGTGTGGTCCGGTGAAATTGTAGCATTGTGTATGCGTTTGTGAGGGAATATTGTGCTACCGATGACCAGTTTGTTGAAGGTACATAGGTTTGCAAATCTCTCACCGTTTTTGTTTCACTGATCTCGAGCACCTCGAGGTTCTATCCTTTCATTTCTGCGGCAACTTGAAATAGTCTTCCAGTCCCCATGTACCTAAAAGAATGGTTGCTCTAGTTGTCAGAAGAGGCATCAGCCACGTAACTTCATCACGCGACGTCATAATTCTTCTTCCAATTTCCAGGGCAGAGTTAAAATGGTTTGAATTATTTTTTCTGGTTAGCGTTTTTCGGCAAGTTGGTTTTTGTCGGGATGGGGTCGCCAACCCCATGCCCTACCCTTCTCGTTTATCCGGGCTTGGGACCGGACCGGGACCACGAAGGTTCTACTTGTGGAGTTTACGCTGCAGGGTGACAGATTATAAATGTTCTAGAAGAAGAAAAAGGAGAAAAAGAACGACTTCTTGGTAAACTGTACTTGTCAAATGATGTATGAGCCTACTTTGTGAATAAGCTTTCTGTTTAGTACTAAGACCGTGTAATTCAATTCCGAAAACATATTTTCAGCTGCCGTTTCGTGTTCTCTCTCTTCGAAAATTCCTTGATTTCAATTTGTATTCAGTGGTTTTAGAACATTTCTGCCAACCTTTAAACGCTTATAATGCGTGTTGCACAGGTCCCGTTCAAACGGCCCTCCTTTGTCTTCCCACCACCTTAGTTTGTTTTCTTCAAACGAAGGTGTAGTATTTGTCAAGTGAATACATTACAATGAGTTTCTCTTCCCTTTTTCTGGTAAGATAATACATTCAAAGAAATTTTAAATATGATTTGTTACGTAATCCATAAATTTACATTATTCACCAGTTTTATATGCTTCTTGTTTTGTTGTGTTATATCAAGTACTACAAGCTGAGTTGTGCTATGTTGATTTTGCAAGTCGTAGACAGATGAAATTAACTAAGCTGTTGGTAGATACGTTCTGCATTTTGTAGGAAACACTTATTGATCAGATGCACGAATATGCAACATGATCTTCTCTCAAAGTAAGCGATTTTTAATTTAAATGTAATATATTTCGCCATAGCTTTGGATAGTCTGTAATGAGTGAATGACAAGATCGGGCATATAATAATAATTCTGAAATAACAACATGTTACAAGAGACAAGCCTATTTTCAGGTAAGATCAAAATGTTGAGATTACTAACATATTTTTTTAACAAGTTATTCAGTTTCTGAAGTATTTCAAAGGGTACATTGGCTTCATATAGATGGCTCTAATTTTTCACATAAAATCATAGATTGCAATATACAGTGCGAATGATTGGCGTTAGGATGAAATTCCAGTGAACGCGAAACAATGTAAGGTTGATCCAGGTGTGCATATAACAAGAACTGATGTAAATGTGCCTAGATTTTATTCATATTGGTCATCTAATAAATTCACAGGCTCTTAGGTAAGTAACAGGAATTTAGTGTTACTTAGTTGTTGGGTATTTAACTATTATTTATTGCGTCATGCGGCAACGCATTATAAAAAGTGATTGACATACTGTGTGAAGGGTTTAAACTGAGAACAGTTTAAAGTATAACAGCTTTTTTCAACTGCCCAGCCAACGAATTGGCAGATTTAGAAAAAATTCATTATTAGACTACATAAACAAACTTGAAGACAGCAATATACAGATTGCCTACCTCACGGACTATTTCATATATGTATCTCTTTTTCAGTTTATCAACAATTCGTGCATACAAGCATTCAATACTGTACTCAATTCACATGCATTAGAGAAGGAGATGTCACATAGGTATATAAAAATGAAATCGGGTTCGCTTCAAGCACTCAATGATAATAATCTCACTTATTTTAGCCACGCCTTTCTGATACCATTCGACGGTAGGGGCAATTTAGTGTTATTCCTCACCTTTAAACATCTAACTTTATTTTTTTCCTTCCCCTCTATATTTCTCATGAATAGATTCCTATTGTCATCAATGTTATTTCCCACTACATGGTTTTTCAACTTGTTCAATTCTTGCAGTTCTGACATAGAGTGGGACTATTTGCACAAATGCATATTCGTGTTAGGTCATACGTCTATAATGAGTGAATACCATGTAGATTAGCTTAGAGACAATATAAACCAACTGATATTTCTTGGTTAAATTCTCTCTTTCCAATTGTGTATACAAGAAATGTTTACGTTATTCAGGAAACAAAACGTAACTAGCTCTTAGACGGGCTTGACATAACAAATTTTAAGGGCCTACGGTTTACTATTACACGCTGAAGGTGCTTGGACCGATGATTTTACTCATCTCTTTGTTGCACAAAACTGTATGTGACCACTAAGCTCCCATAAAAAATTGATCTCAATTAAACTTATGACTACATAGTGAAACAAAATTGAGACCAGATTAACTACGGTGTAAGCGCTTTAGTTCTGTTTTATCATATAAAACTACGTAATAAACAAAATTATGCTTATAAGGAAAAAACAAACCTTCATTATGAGTGTAATTAATAACTGCAGAATTATGCACCGGGATAGAAGCTTGAGGTCGACAAGAGTTACTTGTTCGATCATCATAGGCTGATATTGTTGAAGAACGAGTGGGAACATGGCTAACAGGAACAAGAGGCGATGGAACAGGAACACGTGTTGATGGAGCAATCAAACGAGGTTGATTACTAGATGAATAGTCCATTTGAGTAGTATTAACTTTGTTGCTAGGTTGGGCAAGGACAGCAGCAGAAGCCGCCACAGAAACGGAAGGATTTTGAAACTGCCGTATATCAATAGGAAGACTGATTTCAGGATGGTATAAGGAATTTGGAACTTCTTTCAATAAATTTTCTCGACTGATATCACCAGTCTCACAAGCATTATCTGTGTTGGGCTAAAAAATCAATGTGCAATCGATATAGACAAAAGATTTGCTATTCTATTGCCAATTCAAAATTCAAAAAAGCATAAACTGCCTGAAACCGCAAAAACCGGTAAACCTGTACTGAAATTATTTGCTTAACACAATTGCTTAGTAGTGCACGATCCATCATAATCCGATTGTACTACAACCAGTAATATGATTTAGTGTAGAAAACAAGAATATTATACTACGTTGTGCAATAGCTTGGCTTCTGAATCTACGAAAACGGAAGCAATGATGTAACAACTTACAACCGTATTCGCACTTTGTTCTCAATGACTCTGATTCAGCTTCATAACGATTAATAAAATGGGAGAAAGCAGGGGTAACTGCATGTGACAACTAAAAACAGCAAAAGGTTGGATTTGCAGGGAATTTAGAAATGTCCTTAGGAAGTAACTGGTTATACCCTTCTAGAGACGAACTATAGTCAAAATTACATTCTATGAGTACGATCAGATCGCCTATCGACAGACCACAATAAGTTGAGTGGGCTTACGGGTCTCGTTACGATAATAACAATCATAAAGTAGCACATGTTTGTTTTTCCAGGATGTTTTTAACATTGTACAATCATAGTTTTTTCATTAAACCAACTGTACAGTATGAGAACTAGTGATCAAGAGAAAAACCATTGAGCCATTACATCTAATCTAAGTCTGAAACCTGATTTTAACCACGTTGTTACGTAAGACTTGTCCCACAGTGACACATGTTATCCTCATTATATACGATACAGAAACTGCTACCCATTAAAAACCGAGTCATCCACTGGTTGATATCTAGCAGTCATTGAAAACAAACAAATCCGACTGATCTGACAGGTCACTACTACTTAAGTACCTGATGATTTTGAACAAGCAATGTTTCTGATTTTCGATCTTAATAGTGCAAAACCTTGCATAAAAATGACTTACATATGAGTATCTCAAATTGGGATTCAATTGAAGTACTGCTTCCAAATCTACCTAAACAAAGAAAAAGAATAAAAACAAGAAAACTCTATTACAGACGATAGAAATTATGTACACAATCAACTTCAGTAACAATGACAGAACACAATGATCAAAAGGAATAATTAATTAGTGGTATGGTTATTTGCTTCTATACAATACAACAAATTAGTTACTAGCCAGAGGGGATTCCTTTATGATCTTGCTTTCATACCAGATCTTTAGATGATTCCATAAACCGTAAAACTCTCGGTTTGTTCGTAGACCGGAGAAAACACCTCTATAACATTAAAATTATGTTCCCAATAAGTGAGAAGAAACGTTTAAATCCGTGTTTGCAGTTCATACTGTATACAAGTGATCAATATTTAAAGCTATGTATCCAGAAAATTAGTAAGCCGGCCACTAAATCCTTAGATCGCTACCTTTACCAGGAAATTTTTCAAACATTTCTAAGCTTCCTCACTTTATTTAAAATCATTTTCAAATTGATTTATTAGCAAGACGGTTTGTATGACTTTGAATGATGTCGAGTTCCATAAATCTTAAAAATTCTACTATAAGAGTTCAGCATTTAACAGATCTTAAACTTGCATAACGCAAATATACATATAATCGCTGGAAACTGGGTGACAGCTTAGAACACGTCACAATCGCGCAGTGAATTCACTCGATATCTTCCCTTCGATTTTGAATTCAAGTATTCTTTAACACAACTTTCCACCACCTTTTCGAACTAGGTTGTCAAAACTTTGTGCTTCTCAGTCTTTTCTTGTAAATGAATTTCTACTTTTTACTATCTGTCCCGTTAATTTCATTGCGTCATTCTAATATGATACAGTAACTTCGATCAACACATACAAGTACCAGGCTCTATATTGATAAGTCGACTATATGTATATTAAGGAATACAGTAACATAAGAACTTGCAGAAAACTGTTTCCAGTGAATTAATTCTAGTTATAGTGAAAGTTAGTAGCATCACTGTGTACCTGAAACGTAGAAATAAATGCAATGTTAAAACAGAAAATCTAATTAGCCAAGTTCATACTAACCTCTTTTCCTTTAGCTTCGCCTTTTTCATACCATTCTACAGTCACAGTTTTCGCATTAGTATTAATGCCACTAACAATAGCTGAATGTACACGACCTAGACACAAAAATGTCACAAAACAGTTCATGTATGTATGCAGATGAGGGAATACACATGACTACTGATAAGCTAATTACAATGAATATCAAAATCAGCACATAAGACATCAGTAAACTAGATGCCAAACTGAATCGACGAGTTCACATCTCAAATTCAGCTCCGTTACAGATAACAGAACATGATGGTATTTTATCCCAGACAAGACTTAATGTATTGAGATTCCGAAAATCTTTGGTGACATAACACTTAGTAGATAGTCATTTAAATAAAACCAATAAGATGTATATTGCCATTATTTACACATTACTGATATAAGGGAAACTAAATTGCAGGTAGAAGAGGTCAACGTCATATGCATACACGATACACCAAAACTCACTGAAGTTTTTATGAATAAAGCCAGACTCAGACGAGTTTTCTTTAACTGCTTACAGTCATGTCCGCATTTAAACATTATAAAACACCAAGTAATGAACACTAGACATCAGTAATGTGACTATGGCTCGTTTTAAACTCAAGGATGACCAGATGTATGGTGTTCAAATTATGTTAGGTTTTAGTGAGATGCTACTTAGTGCATAAACATACGTCTGTGCAACTTATAACCCATAAATTAGGAGACGAAGGAACCAAACACTCGGAAACTGCTTCTCCTGATAAATGCAAACAGTACTGACAATTAGGTGTGTTCAAGCACTCAATTATTGGTCACGGACAATACTAAATTACGTAAGTTGGACACAGGCTAAGCCTAAGACTCAATAATGAGACATATACTAGTTTACTAAAGTGGTGCTAATATAAAAGATCTGAATGATGATTTATTTCTATGAACCAACTAGTAACACTTCAATGTGAATGTAAGAGTAAGGAACAACCGAGCTTACGACCTCAGCACTGTAATAGCTCCATAAAGAATCCACACAACTACTGATGAAGGTCGCTAGGTAATTTCCCTGAGATTTTTCAATCTATCCGAAATCAATGAAATACCGATTTCCGCTTCATACCGATATCACGCTAGATTTTTCGAAGCTAGATATTTAAATATCTCAGGCAATTACACAGTATTCCATGAGTTATAAAGATAGTAGATGAATAATTTCCATGTTTCAATAGAATTGTTTACTAAATCCGATGTGAACGAAGTATCTATTAGCACAACTCCTCATGCTGCTTAGACTTGAATATCCAATATCTTTTTCACAAACTAGTATAAACCATTTGACTTATTTGCGTTTGCTTCTTGTTCCTTCGGTACAGTTTCAGGCGTTTGGTAGTATTCAATCGATGATACTCACCATCTGTTCTCTGTATATCCACATTTATTCCAACAGCCAGAATATCACTGTCATAATCCTCCATGTTTCACCGGCACACAACACTTCAGGTATAAGAACCTCACACTCAAACGAGGTTACTTCTGGATCAGATCAGACCAGTACAACAAAACACGATGCCATGGTGACGACATAGTGTTCACGGAAGTTATACTTTATTGCCAATTCCCTAATAAAAGTTTTGAAGGAAGCCTAAATTTACTGCCTCAATTACTAGTTGTTTTGATGGCGCGAGTTTTAAAATTAGAGGCTTGGGCAATACATTCTTTTATTAGTGTTATGGTCTAGTCACGTAATTGGCTGCTCCACCATATTTACAATCAGTAATCATTTCTGCTTATCTTTAGGTGTAATGTTTTTCAGTATCGCAATTTATTTCACTTCAGAAGGTAGCCGAACTCCATCATTTATTGATACGTTGTCCACGAATCTTGAGCATTCAGAAATCCTAACTTACAATTACCATAGTTTGTAGATAAATTTCAAGGAAAGATTTATCCTAGGTTATCCTGTTCGATAGATACAACATTCTTAGTCTGCTCGTGTCAAGAATAAGTTAGGGACTTGTCATATGATTCGGTGGTTTGTTTGGGGACTATAATCTCTTGTTTTTGTTATAAACTTTTGAATCGGGTCGTCAAAAACATACGGAATAAATTTATCGGCCATAGCTTAGAGCAGAGAGTCATGGGCTCATTTTGTCCTGATTTCGGTCTGCTTCTAACCGTCGTCCCAACAACCGTGACAAGGTAAAACTGGGCGCACCTCAAGGTTGGACACAATCAACCGGGACCTAAATAAAGTAACGTTGATACTGTGAGTCACCTACATGCCTTAAACATGATTAACAGTTACTAGAAACCAACGCTGTATGAGGGAACGTTGGTATCTCATCGGTGGTGTAATGAAAGATGAAATCAAAAGCAGATGGACTAGCAGTGTACTTGGAGAAGTATGTTTGCGACCGTACAAATTAAGAAATTAATTCGACGAAAAGATAACTCTTCGCTGGATCAGTCTTGTTTTTCTAACTGGAGAAGACACACCTATTCTTACATCTTACAACCTATCTTCACACTTTCATTCGTAAGCAAGCTACCTTTTTTCACAGGATTTCCGGTCTTAAAAACACTTTGACAGCGCCATACATTCGGATGCAACACTCTTTCCTCTGATAGTAACTTCTGGGCGAAACTCCACTGTATACTTTTCAGAACTCCGTTGTCAGTGGCATCTATCACGATAGAAAATGTGACAGGTGCACCATATACCGTTATTTAGATATTTTACCATGGCATTTGACGTCATAGCCTCGGTGTTTAGAGAATCTTGTATTCACTCCTACCACTAGAAATTTTTCCTCTATCAAGTTAAGTTTGAACAGATCCTGTTCGTGTAGTAGACATCCTAATAACTGTTATTGATTAAACAGTGTCACTGATGTCCAAAAATCATTTCGCTTCGCCAGACGATTAAAACACCCATAAGAGATCTAAATCCGTCATTAAAGAGGACAAAATAAAACTTAGAATGGACAGTGATCAATACGGATCCCACTTCAAACTTTCTACGAGCTATCAAGTATTTCTTCAGAAATATTATCAATAGTTAATAAAGAAACTTGTCGTTGAAACATTTGTGGTGAATCCACGTTATGAAGAGAACGCGATTGGTTTAATAGAAACCTTTATTATTACAACCAATATTAGTGGCGATTATTTAATTGTACTTTTTGTCTATTACACTCTTTATGCGTAAACTTTCTGCTGAGTTGTTGCCATTTTCTGGCACGATTTCTCTGTTCTTTCGATACCACGAAATGGCCACCAGATATATTCTTTACTATAGAATTACCCTTCTGCTAGACGAGCTCATAATAATTATTCAGTGGTGGTCATATTCAATCTCGAAACGATCGCCAATAAACATTCTTACATTTTCTAGCACCAGGACAGATGGTTCAAATCCATCTTCTAGGTCTTCATAAGGTATAAATGACGATTTATTATTGTTCGAATGTTGGACATGAGGTGGTTTATAATTAATTCTTTAGTAACGTCATAATAAGTGAAATAGGTCTCTTTGCAGAAGCCAGTTGTTTTGCAAATTAAACATCCTTTCTGATGAATGCACGGAAATACGCCGTCGTTTTTATCATCTTCGATTTCTTTGCCAGTAATATGCCACATTTGAAACATCGCTATAAAACTGCATCATGTTTCAACTGGTAGTCATTCCCCCACTTATCCTTAAAATCCAACACTCGGTCTGGACTGAACAAAACTCTATCATAGCCCAACATGCTGCCAGTTCCTGGTTGCCTATCGTCAGTTTACTGCCTGCACATGCAGTCGAAGTAGTTCGACACATGTAATTCGCACTGGGTATTGCAGTGCACGAAGCCAAACTCATGATTTGCCGTAAATGATGTTCACACCTTGCACTGCAATCCATATAATGTAACTATCAAAGTGCAATGCATTCAACCGTGGGCTTTCGGTAGCAGAACAAGAACCTCAATTCATGCAGTCCAGTTTACATTGTGCATATCCATGCATCAAGTCCTCTGCAGTTGGTTGAGGCCAGTGCGATGAGGCTGTTGCAATCCAGTTCACGAATCCAAAATCTAATCGTTGCAACCCCTGTTTCGCATGTGTTCCACCGCAAATATTTCCATTCGTTGTGTACTACCGTTCGCATTCATGCCATGCAGTCTGATTCATGCAGGCCGTCGGAAGTAGTTAAATCAATATTATTCGAAAGCCTATGATACTAATATTATTATCACTGATAGGTCATTTCTTCAATCAAAACGTTTCCGAAAGGAACAAAATATTCTCCCTGATAAATATGGATTAATTGTCGTCATCAATCTTTTCTGGTCTGCAACTTCTCGGTAACTCTCAAAGGCTTTCAAAGAACATGGACTTTACTGCTTCGAATGTGCCGCAAGGTATGGCCTTAAGGATTTTCTGTGTGCTATTTGGCATTCTAGCCAGTGTGTGTAATCGAGGGGATAGTAGGCTTTAGGCTACAGATAGGGAAATACCTTACGTTATTGATAAGGGGGTAGTTCCAGTTATGTGTGTCCTGGCACTTGAACTTCTGGGGTTTACTTTAAGAAGCTTACTAACGGAAGACGTTGTTGCTTACTAGGTTGATCGGATATTTTGAACCGGCGGCTAAGGCGTGTGGTACATATTTTAGGGGGATTTCTGCCAAGCTTAGTCACAAAATTCCTATTGGTTTCGCTGGGTCAATGCTGATACATTGCAGTTTCAAGTGACTATTGATTAGGAAGTAACTGACCGTTTGAACTTGGGACAAAGGATTAAAATACCTTTATTTACAGAGCTAACCTTTCACTAGCAGATTCACTGAATCTATTTTCAGTTTCAATAGGCGTTGGGGAAGGAAATGTGAGGTTTGTGTACCGGTCATGTTTGTGGTTGTCACTGATGCATAAATTGGACTGCTTAGAGGTAGTTTTTCATTGATTAGACGTTGAATCGTAGCTCAGTCACAAATAATTATCCTCTTAATTTGCGGAATGGTTTTATTAGTGACTGACTAATAATGAACCGATTGGCTTCCATGATACTGCTAAACTGTTTGGTGATTTCAGTTTAACGAAGAAAAACACGATTGGTTAAATAGCAAAGTACATTTTTGTGATCAGTTGTACCAGTGAACGCTTAAATGAACATTTCGTTTATTCGTACTTCTGGAACACGCACACAATCACGCAGTCACCATTTTGCTTTTGCTACTCTATACCTTAGCCTAATTCTTAAGTACGATTCGCTTTTCTTTTAACACCACGAAACCGTCAGGAAATAAACTCTTTTCATCTGAACTATCCCTTCTTCTCTTTCTATATACGAGACTCGGGATAACGCTTGGGACAAGAACGTAAGTGATTTTTAGATGTATTCGTAGTACTTCGACTTCAACATCTATGACTGAAAAAGAATAGGACAGAAGAATTCAGTATGAACTTTACGTAACTTCCTGTATCATTGTGAGTTCCTTCTTGCTCATTTATGAGTAGTTCGTTATCTTTTTATTTCCTCAGTTTACTGACACTCAAAAGCCTTGCATTCTTATCCATTTATTGCTCTACTCATGTAGTTATAACGCTATTTTTCTTCATTTTATTTAGTCAGCTACCTATTATTCCTATTCCAAAACTACCTATTAGCTGATCGATATCCTACAATTTTAACAATTAGTTAACCCAATACGAGTGTGATATGGTCCATCGATATTTATCCCAACACACAGGAGCAGAAGTTGTCTGGTTCGCTTGTAACATGGAGCTAGTAGAAAACGTGTATTTCGACAAGCTGCACAAAAAATAGAGTTTAGACTTGCAATGGCTTAACTTTTATGAAGAGAACCCAACAGATTTATTAGAAATATTTAGTATTATAACCAACTGTAGCGGTGATTGCTTTACTGTACTCTTTGTTTATCTGAAGTGAATATACCCATTTTCCGCTCGTGCCGCCTACACTTTGGTTATTGTGCTTGCAGTAGTTTCACCTGTATCCTTTGGCACGATCTCGGAGTTCTTTCGGTACCACCACATCATCCACAAATATACCCCCATTTCAGGATACGATTCTCTTCCTTGCTTTGGTTTCACTGAATGTAATTAGTCTTTGGTGGTGATCATAGCCAACCTCGGCTCATTCCGCTAAAATTGGTGAACTGCGACTGGGAACACTCGCCACATCCGCCAACATTTCAACGCAAAGCCGAATACGCGGAGTCTGTTATTCATCAATCCTCATTTTTGTTCCACTATTATCATCGATATCTTCTAATATATATTATTCTTGCAAAAAATTTTTGAATTGGGGGAGCGGCTTAAGGATATTGATAATATGACAGATTCCGAGTTACAGATTATTAATTTCCGACCATTTTTCGTGATCCTAACGATCTAGAAATCTGGTTCGCGGCGTTTGAAACTCAGATCCAGATACGCAGCATTATGAGCTGACGGAAGACATACGCCTACCGTCTAGAGACTTTACCTGAGGATCATATTTCAGCTGTCTGTGGGGTCCTCACCCCTAATACACCTAACGCCTACTACTGTCTCAAAGAGGCGATCCTCAGACACTCCCACTGAGGTAAGAATGGGTGAGGACTTTAGTGGCAAGTCACCCTCTGGGTAGTGCTAAGCGGAGACAACACCTCACAAGTCTTTTGTATGATCTTCAACAGCTGACTCTGTATATTTAAGGAATGTTGGCTCGAAGCTTTGCCAGCCCACATACAGCCTACGATCGCAGTCCTGCTCGTGGACACGCCACTGTCCCAGAAAAAATCATTGCCAGGACCAGCACTAAGGGCAACTATATAGTTACCTCCACGTCACACCCGAATTAAGACCCTGATGCTAGTCGCCTTCCATCTCAAGAAGATCAGGGTTGCTGTATTCACAGTCATCTCAAGTTTCGAGATCGTACAATCATTAAGGAACCCGAAGTCCCCGGAGCGGGATCGCGATCACGTAGAGCTGTAAATTTTCTCTCCAAGCAAGCACCTTTCACGTCACTCTAAAAGGCGGCTACGGAAGTGGATACTGGTCTTTGCAAGTTCCATCGGGCCTTTGACTCCCGTTGTCGAGCCCCTCACTCATATAATGCGGGAAACTGCCATGCCGGCGAGCAAATGCAGCAGCACTAGCCGGCCGCTTATCCTACCTTGGGCGCTTATTTTACGTGCAGGATTACCGCATTGTCGTAGGTACCTAGTAAATACAGGTGCCTATGTTTCTGTCCTGCTGATCGGTAACAGCTACTCTAGGGCTGCGATGCTTGAACTATGCGCTGAGAACGGCACTATCATTTCTATCCGTGGTACACGAGAGCTAAAGCTCAACCTGAGCAGCCGACGACAGTATCTGTAACTATTCATCATTGCTGATGTTCCCACAGCCATGCTCGTTATCGATGTCCTACAGCACTATGAATTGCTAGTCGATTCGCGGAGACTACAGCTAATCGATACATAGTTGAAAAACAAATTCATGGTCTTCAAAGCTTAGACAAACTAATATCAAATCACAGGTCTTTCTCATTAGCGTGACGATATATTCCACACTTTATTCGAGAAATTCCCTGAAGTATCTAAACCTCTAGAGGAGATTCCATCGGTGACAAATCGTGTGGTACACCACGTCGTAACTCGCAGACTGCCAATCACGGCAAAACCCGGATGATTGACATCGGACAAATTAGCCTTCGCTAAGCGTGAGTTTGACAGTTTACTATGACTGGTATTATTCGTCTCTCTAACAGTCTCTGAGCCTCATCTCTCCACATGGTTCGCAAAAAGTACGCAAAAGTTCGGCAAAGTACGTGCATTAACGGAGTCAACTTTACCGTCCACACTCAAGGAACAGAAGACGTTCCTCGGTTAAGCTAGCGTATGCCGACGTTTCATCCCAGTTGTGGCAGTACGGTTGTAGAATCTATTTTGAAGGCTTTGTTTTTGGAAAATCCCACCACGTATATACATTTGTGTTATGATATGTCTGACTCTTTCTGTTCGATATTTTGACCTCATTTTGGGATTTTATCATTTTGTATCTTGTTATTATTTCCATATCTTGTACTTATATTGAAGTTTCTATGTTTCTTTCTGAACTATATATGTGTTGTTTAAGATTGATACTTAATATGGCTGCAGCCATTTTTGGATTTGATACTGTAGCAGCAGCTCGTTAAAATTAACCGGAAGCACTTATTCTTCCAGTATCGAAACTTATTTTTGTGATTGGGAACTCGGTGTAATATTGTCTTGAAACGTTCCATCCCAGATTTGATATTTTTGGATTTGGACTGGGCGGGACGCATGTGAACCTGCACCTATTTGGATTCAGAGCTCGCCGCGATAGTAATAAATATTTCTACAACGGTTACGACCATTAACCAACTTACATCTCAGTAATCCACGTAAATTAAAATTAAACGATGAAACGCCTACTGCATTTTCAGAGGTATGAACAGAGTTGGTTCAAGCCACACTGTTCGCTAATTCTGACCCATCAGCAGCGTTTAGTATAGCAGCTGATGCCTGACGTCTCTGTAAATGACCTACTAATTGAAGGACATTATTATCTTATTATATTGGTGTGACTCATAACTTTTTTCATTTCCATAAGATACGCTACACTGGTCGGTACCTTTGCTCGTATTACTTGATAACTGCAATTTCCTTAATTATTGTACTAATCTAATTGCTTTTATGTTTGGAAATAGATAAAGTTTAAAACACAATTGTACCTGTACTGACTACATATTCCCCACCGACTCTGTGCTCGCCAATATTGCGTTCAAGGTCACAAAATTGCAGCTGTAGGGCAAGTGAAATTCTAGGATTAGTGGCCCAAAAAATGTGATGTATATTTTGAAAAATCTGATCACCCATAAACCTGCCAAGACGTTTTATATGAAAATCGATAAAAGGTCATTTAACCAGAAAATTGACCGAGTGAATTGACAAGAGTGCGGGTGATCATGTCAGCTTTCACCAAGATTGACTGAAGTCAACAGTACCAACAGGGTGAGAGCCGTAGTCGCGGACTCACGATAAAAAGAAATCAAAGAAAGATAAAACGTAGCAAAAATGGCAACAACTCAGCAGAAAGTTTACGCATAAAGAGTGTAATAGACAAAAAGTACAATTAAATAATCGCCACTAATATTGGTTGTAATAATAAAGGTTTCTATTAAACCAATCGCGTTCTCTTCATAACGTGGATTCACCACAAATGTTTCAACGACAAGTTTCTTTATTAACTATTGATAATATTTCTGAAGAAATACTTGATAGCTCGTAGAAAGTTTGAAGTGGGATCCGTATTGATCACTGTCCATTCTAAGTTTTATTTTGTCCTCTTTAATGACGGATTTAGATCTCTTATGGGTGTTTTAATCGTCTGGCGAAGCGAAATGATTTTTGGACATCAGTGACACTGTTTAATCAATAACAGTTATTAGGATGTCTACTACACGAACAGGATCTGTTCAAACTTAACTTGATAGAGGAAAAATTTCTAGTGGTAGGAGTGAATACAAGATTCTCTAAACACCGAGGCTATGACGTCAAATGCCATGGTAAAATATCTAAATAACGGTATATGGTGCACCTGTCACATTTTCTATCGTGATAGATGCCACTGACAACGGAGTTCTGAAAAGTATACAGTGGAGTTTCGCCCAGAAGTTACTATCAGAGGAAAGAGTGTTGCATCCGAATGTATGGCGCTGTCAAAGTGTTTTTAAGACCGGAAATCCTGTGAAAAAAGGTAGCTTGCTTACGAATGAAAGTGTGAAGATAGGTTGTAAGATGTAAGAATAGGTGTGTCTTCTCCAGTTAGAAAAACAAGACTGATCCAGCGAAGAGTTATCTTTTCGTCGAATTAATTTCTTAATTTGTACGGTCGCAAACATACTTCTCCAAGTACACTGCTAGTCCATCTGCTTTTGATTTCATCTTTCATTACACCACCGATGAGATACCAACGTTCCCTCATACAGCGTTGGTTTCTAGTAACTGTTAATCATGTTTAAGGCATGTAGGTGACTCACAGTATCAACGTTACTTTATTTAGGTCCCGGTTGATTGTGTCCAACCTTGAGGTGCGCCCAGTTTTACCTTGTCACGGTTGTTGGGACGACGGTTAGAAGCAGACCGAAATCAGGACAAAATGAGCCCATGACTCTCTGCTCTAAGCTATAGCCGATAAATTTATTCCGTATGTTTTTGACGACCCGATTCAAAAGTTTATAACAAAAACAAGAGATTATAGTCCCCAAACAAACCACCGAATCATATGACAAGTCCCTAACTTATTCTTGACACGAGCAGACTAAGAATGTTGTATCTATCGAACAGGATAACCTAGGATAAATCTTTCCTTGAAATTTATCTACAAACTATGGTAATTGTAAGTTAGGATTTCTGAATGCTCAAGATTCGTGGACAACGTATCAATAAATGATGGAGTTCGGCTACCTTCTGAAGTGAAATAAATTGCGATACTGAAAAACATTACACCTAAAGATAAGCAGAAATGATTACTGATTGTAAATATGGTGGAGCAGCCAATTACGTGACTAGACCATAACACTAATAAAAGAATGTATTGCCCAAGCCTCTAATTTTAAAACTCGCGCCATCAAAACAACTAGTAATTGAGGCAGTAAATTTAGGCTTCCTTCAAAACTTTTATTAGGGAATTGGCAATAAAGTATAACTTCCGTGAACACTATGTCGTCACCATGGCATCGTGTTTTGTTGTACTGGTCTGATCTGATCCAGAAGTAACCTCGTTTGAGTGTGAGGTTCTTATACCTGAAGTGTTGTGTGCCGGTGAAACATGGAGGATTATGACAGTGATATTCTGGCTGTTGGAATAAATGTGGATATACAGAGAACAGATGGTGAGTATCATCGATTGAATACTACCAAACGCCTGAAACTGTACCGAAGGAACAAGAAGCAAACGCAAATAAGTCAAATGGTTTATACTAGTTTGTGAAAAAGATATTGGATATTCAAGTCTAAGCAGCATGAGGAGTTGTGCTAATAGATACTTCGTTCACATCGGATTTAGTAAACAATTCTATTGAAACATGGGAAATTATTCATCTACTATCTTTATAACTCATGGAATACTGTGTAATTGCCTGAGATATTTAAATATCTAGCTTCGAAAAATCTAGCGTGATATCGGTATGAAGCGGAAATCGGTATTTCATTGATTTCGGATAGATTGAAAAATCTCAGGGAAATTACCTAGCGACCTTCATCAGTAGTTGTGTGGATTCTTTATGGAGCTATTACAGTGCTGAGGTCGTAAGCTCGGTTGTTCCTTACTCTTACATTCACATTGAAGTGTTACTAGTTGGTTCATAGAAATAAATCATCATTCAGATCTTTTATATTAGCACCACTTTAGTAAACTAGTATATGTCTCATTATTGAGTCTTAGGCTTAGCCTGTGTCCAACTTACGTAATTTAGTATTGTCCGTGACCAATAATTGAGTGCTTGAACACACCTAATTGTCAGTACTGTTTGCATTTATCAGGAGAAGCAGTTTCCGAGTGTTTGGTTCCTTCGTCTCCTAATTTATGGGTTATAAGTTGCACAGACGTATGTTTATGCACTAAGTAGCATCTCACTAAAACCTAACATAATTTGAACACCATACATCTGGTCATCCTTGAGTTTAAAACGAGCCATAGTCACATTACTGATGTCTAGTGTTCATTACTTGGTGTTTTATAATGTTTAAATGCGGACATGACTGTAAGCAGTTAAAGAAAACTCGTCTGAGTCTGGCTTTATTCATAAAAACTTCAGTGAGTTTTGGTGTATCGTGTATGCATATGACGTTGACCTCTTCTACCTGCAATTTAGTTTCCCTTATATCAGTAATGTGTAAATAATGGCAATATACATCTTATTGGTTTTATTTAAATGACTATCTACTAAGTGTTATGTCACCAAAGATTTTCGGAATCTCAATACATTAAGTCTTGTCTGGGATAAAATACCATCATGTTCTGTTATCTGTAACGGAGCTGAATTTGAGATGTGAACTCGTCGATTCAGTTTGGCATCTAGTTTACTGATGTCTTATGTGCTGATTTTGATATTCATTGTAATTAGCTTATCAGTAGTCATGTGTATTCCCTCATCTGCATACATACATGAACTGTTTTGTGACATTTTTGTGTCTAGGTCGTGTACATTCAGCTATTGTTAGTGGCATTAATACTAATGCGAAAACTGTGACTGTAGAATGGTATGAAAAAGGCGAAGCTAAAGGAAAAGAGGTTAGTATGAACTTGGCTAATTAGATTTTCTGTTTTAACATTGCATTTATTTCTACGTTTCAGGTACACAGTGATGCTACTAACTTTCACTATAACTAGAATTAATTCACTGGAAACAGTTTTCTGCAAGTTCTTA